TGGTAATAGGGAATACAATGGCTTTTATGATTCTGACTTTTGTACTGAGTTGTATGTCTCAGCATTTTAAAATCTTTTCTAGTTCTTTCATAGCCACTCTCCCCATTCTGATTTCCTGACTGCAGTCCCCATTTCTATCAATGTTTGATCCCAAGTATGGAAATTCTTTTACTATTTCTATTTCTTCATTGTGTAGGCTGGACTTGTGAAGGTCCTCAGTGGTTATTGTTTTTGTTTTCTTTATATTCAACATTAAGCCTGCTTTAGCACTTTCTTCTTTGATCTTCCTTAGCAGGTGTTCCAGACCTGTGAGATTTTCTGCTAGCACTATGGTGTCATAGTGTCATCAGCATATCTTAAATTGTTGATATCTCTTCCTCCTGTTTTCACTCCTCCTTCTTCTGTGTCTAAGCCTGTTTTTCTTATAATATGCTCTGCATACAAATTAAACAGTTAGGGTGAAAGGATAGAGGTTTGTCTGATCCCTATGTCAATTGGGAACCATTCTGTTTCTCCATGTTCTGTTCTGACAGTAGCCTCTTGTCCTGAGTACAGATTCCTCATCAGGATTATCAGATGCGTTGGCACTCCCATGTCTTTAAGGGCATTCCATAGTCTTTTATGATCTATGTAGTCAAAGGTTTTGATACATTCTATAAAGCACATGCTGATTTTCTTTTGGAACTTCCTAGTGCACTCCATTAGTCATCGTATGTTTGCAATGTGGTATCTTTTGCCTTTCCTGAACCCTGCTTGGACCTCTGGGATTTCACCCAGTTTTAAAATGGATTTTTATCTGATTCACACCTCTTGAACAAAAAATGGAAAGATATATTATTAGTGAGCAAAACTATGTACAGTTTCAGGCTTGCAATGAATTCTGAGAAAGGAAAATAAATGCATTTAAAAACATTCTCTCATTTGGAAAAAAAATACACACAAAATGACTGCAAAAATATTTCTAAATGTGCATGAGCATGCTTTGGTCAATGAGAGCATGTACCTAGTAATATGCCAATGAATGTATCCATTTCTAAAATGCACTTGAACATATATAAATTTTTTCTGTTTAACAAAACTATGCAAAACCAGCACAAACTGAACTTGGAGATGTGAAACAGGGAAAGTGTGCAGAAATAACTTGACAGGTATAGCCATTTCTAAGATGCATTGATACCAATGTGCTGGTTATTAGGAAGAATAGCACTGTTCCAGCTCTCCTTAACTTAATGGTGTGGAGAAATACCAGCATGAGCAATCGCCCTCCCACATGGACTTAGACTATGTATGAATCATGTGCTTATGTGATCTCCAGTCTAAAATTTGGTTGCTCTAGAATAGCAGTGATGAGCTTGTCTTTTATCTCCCCTTTCCATTTTTTTAAAAAAACACAGTACCATAATGCTGAAAAGAAAGTCTTTGTGAGAATGATAATTTTAAAATAGAATTTAGCCCAGTGTATCTTTACTCTTTAGCTGTAATCACCAGATGTCTAAAAATGTGGTTTTGAGTACCATATGCTGTTTTCATTTATGATAATTACCTCCTGGTTCATTTAAAAATAGAAGACTTATGCCATTTTTATTTGAGGAGTTTATAGCAATGATAGACATCTGTTACTGGTGTTTCATACATGTTGGTTAGTGGGCTGTGCTACAGCTGCTGTAGAGAATGCCTTTCAAAGTCCTCCTGAAAGCCAATTTAAGTCTGAGAGCCACTGTGTAGAGACTGCCAAGAAACAAAAACAAACTCCCAAACACTTACTCATGTAGGCACAAAATATAGCTGGCATCTGCCTTAAAAGTGTGTGTGCGTGTCACCTATATACATATTCACATGGCAGTGTTTCTATTATCTGCAACACTAATGTATACATATGAGCAAGCACATGGGCTAAGGGCTTTTATACATTATGCCCAGTATCATGTTGATTAGTCCCAAATACAGTAGACCCATTCAATTAGTTGTTGAATGGTGAGTCATCACATAGATAAACACCATTGATCTAGCAGGTCTACATTATTCAAGCCTACAGGACATGCTCACATACAGAAGTAGTTTCAATAGAATCAAAGTGATAGTTTTCCATTTAAATTGGTATTGAAGGAAATACATAGCTCTACTTTTCTCCACAGCAATGTTGGAAAGCCTGTGGCACATGTGCCCTCTCTGGTGTGTGAAGCCATCTCTGAGGGCACGTGATGGCCACAGCAAGTAGGGGTGGGGGTGTGGGGCAAATGTGCTTGTCTCAGCTTCTTGTTGTAGCTTAGTTTGGCCTGGGAGAACATGGCCATGGCAAGGAGGGCCAGGGAGGCACACATGGCTGGGCCAGCTCCTTGCCATGGCCTGGTTCTCCTGCAGAAAATGAAGCCGCAGCAAGAAGGGGCCATGTGTGGGCCTTCTGGGTGGAAGTCCTGCCTCTTCTCGCCAGGACCGCACCTTGCTATGGGATTCTGGGAACTGTCATTTTGTGAGGTATAATGAGGACATCCATGGAATTTTCTTGGTAAGATTTCTTCAGAATAGGTTTGCCATTGCCTTCTGTTAGTGGATGTCCTCCATTTTTCTTGTATATTTTAGCCATGTGGAGTTCCCTATAACCCCAGCCTGACCCTTGGGAGATGGCAGCCATAATCCCCTAAATGTAAGGTCAGGTAGGCAATGCTGAAGTTGCTCAAGACCACTAAAGATTTCTTGGACAGGAAGGTTTGGGAGTTGCCCTTGGGAATATCCCATTATACTGGAAAAGATACACAATGGAGTTTGTTATTAGTCTCACACTTAATGGGACAGTGATCAGTTTGGGTGCACCCCTTTCTCTAGCTTCTTTTCCTCAATAGTTTTGAAACCAAATGCATTGTTCAGACTATGCCCAGACTTAGGTAAACAATGGTAAACCCATCAAGCCTTTGTCCTCCTATTTTTGGACTCATGGCCAGAAGGCAGGAATCTCCCTTAAAACCCCTTGGATTTTAGCAGACCATGTGCTACCTTGGAAGTGCATGCTGAATCTCTGTCGGTCTGTGCTCTGAGATAGTTCCCACGACCCCCTCTCTTGTCATTCGTGCCCCTTCCATGGAACCCATCCACATTCGCTGCCAGAAGTCCTGAGGTGTCTCTCGGGTGTAAGTATATCCCTCTCTATCCTGGTCCCCCTCTCTGTCTTCCCTGCTCTCGCTCTTTCCCACTTATTCCTCGAGTGTGTGTGTGTGTGTGTGTGTGTGTGCCATATTTGGGTGTTTGCTTATTGTGTTAATAAATATTTCAGAGTTTAATTTGGAGTTTGGTTCCTCTCAGTGTCATTCCCTGCCAAAATTCTTATATCTCTGGTATACAGTTGGATAAGATCTCCTAAGCGAAGTTGGGCACTCCACTCGCATATTTGAGCTAATTATAAGTTCCCCAAAATTAGGCTTGATTCCCAACACTTCCTCTGAGGTTGAGAGAATCTGATTTGCCCAAGGTCTCTCAGTGGGTTTTATGGCCAAACTGGGTTTTGAGCCCTGATTTTCAGAGTTTCATGCTAAAACTGCTGGGTCTCTTTGTGCTTGTTGTTGTTCTGTGCCTTCTGTGCTTCATTATATTTGTTACTGTTGTTTGGTGTCTTCTAGTAGTTTCCAATTTATGGGCCCAGAGCACCCTCCCTCCTTTCCAAGCACGATTCCTGGTGACCCTAAGGTGAAACTATGATAGGGCAACCTTCATCAAAGGGGGATTTCCATTGCCATCCTCTGTGGCTGAGAGT